GCATTTAAGTTGCTTAAGCACAAACGACTTACCCACTGCTGTGAACTCAAAGTGTTTCTTTGTAAACAATTCCTCAGTTGTAGATTTAAAAACTGGTCTTGCACACCTGCGCGATTCAAATAAATTGTTCACAACAGATGTAAAAAAAGAGTTGAACAATTCTGAAATGCTTTGTTTATCAGTAATAATCTTGTCATCAGTCTTGATACATGTCGGGATAGATTTCACTTTTGCGTCCGGCAATATTTTCTTTACAGATCTCCAGAAAGATTCAGAATCGCCCCTATTCTCTTCGATTAATGATCTACTCTAGCTTTCTTTAGCACATTAAAGCCTTGCACTGACTTTATTGCGAAGTAGTCGATACGCAGCCAATATGATCTGTTCACCATGAAAAAAAAAACTCTTTAAGTGAGTTTATTCCATCAAAACTGTGATACATGTTTAAATGTGAAAGTGTAATGTGATCGTCCGGGATAACGGTGGTGGCTGACCTTTCGACAACCTGTGTGCAAGTCATTATCAGAGTCAAGTGAATAGTTGTTGTCAGAAAATGATTGGTCACTTTTGCCGTTATGTTATTGGCTGTAAGACTCAAGTGGCATAACTCGGTTGTGATTGGTATGTGTCGATCCGTCGGTAAAGTTAGGTCGTTCTGTTCGGCTCGTTTTGTAATGTTAATGTCTTGAATGAGTCGTTTGTATGGAGCCGGTAGTAGTTGACACCTGTTTAGGTGAGTCCGTAAGGTTGTCAAAAGGTCAGTCACCACCACAGACAACAGTCCTTCTCAGGACTACACTCACCCGGACGATCACACTACACTTTCACATGTTACCTCCGGGTTCAAACCACATACTGCAACGGATTTTTAAATGTTGTTTAGTATGAATTACTGAACAACTCTACTTTAATCACAAGTGTAAGAATCTGTGTTTCAAGCATGTTTTTATTTGCTGCTTTTCTTTCCCTTTTGTTTTCGTTGTTGTTGTTGTTGTTGTTTTTTTTTTTGGTTTTTGTCTGGTTTTTCTTATTAAACCGTAACCTTTAAATATCTTTTACAAGGTGTATTCATGAGTAAAATTTGGAGACTTCTGTTGTCATTCTATTGTGCGTCCATTCAGCTTTTCAATTGAGATTAATTTTACATGATGAAAACTGTTTCTCGTGTTTATCAAATAGAGCCCAGTCGTGGACCAGAAGAAGTACGTGTATCTTCTTCTACAGTAAACTCCTCAAGAATTAATGTCACTTGGCTTGGACTGCCAAGAGAGGTAGCTTATGGTAAAATCATAAGATACGAAGTTAGGCTCGCTGTGTTGGAAAACTGTAAAGAGAGTCAGTCTGCCTATCATTTAACTATAAACACGACCACAACCTATTTTCATGTGACTGGACTCTCTTTGTTTGCCAAGTACGAAGTGTCTGTTAGAGGCTACACTGCTGCCGGGCCTGGACCTTACAGTAGACCTGCAATGGTGCAGACATTGGGTAAGTAAGCCTATGGGCAGTTGTAATGAGGCCATTTTCAGCAGAGAGGGGGTTGAATAGAAGAGTTGACACAACTTATGGGAAAGTTACAAACGAAAATCATGAAGGTTTCGAGCCGAGGGCAAGTGATTAACGAGCTCATTGGTTTTCTGCCTTTAAAAGCACACACTCTCATGATATGGTTTTAGTAAGGAAGAGAGAAGCTACAGAGAAGTCTTCGGGCTGCTCTGAGTCCTGAGTTTCGTAATAAAACTACTTATCCGTGTTTATTAAAACTCAGAGAAACCTGTCATCAAAGATCTGCCAAAGAGAACCATTTCAGCAATTGGCGAACTGGTAGTATTGAACTGTGAGGTCTTTGGACACCCTGAGGCTTCTGTTATCTGGACTAAAGATGGACTTAACAGTATACCTCGCGCTCAATTGAAGGACAACGGCAAAGTACTTGTTATAAACAATGTTGCTCCTGCAGATAGTGGCGTTTATGAATGCAAAGCTATGAACATGTTTGGAGAGAGTTATACTACTACGACACTCATTGTCGCTGGTACGTGTAACATTTTGTGACTTTTACATAAATATTTACTTCTTTTGAGTACATCCGTGGAAGAGATGGTGTCTTTGTAGGGTATCAAGTTGAAGAGGAGGCAAAACTGTTCCAAAATCGATGACCAAATGGTAAATTAACAACAATAACACGATATATAACAGCAACAAATGAGAAAACTGCTTACTAATGTGCACAAAAAAACACATCATGGTGGTGTCTATGGATCTCCCTCACAGGAGTTTTTTACTGAAATTTTGCCTGACTTTATATGGCCTCATTACACTTTCTTTTTTCTCACAGGGCCACCCAGTTTACTAAAAGAACTTTCTCCCCCCTCGGTGTTATGTGAAAAGCAAACTCTGTGTTCTCTCTCGTGTCATGCAACCAGTTATACTCCATTTAACTATTCTTGGACGAAAGATGGCCATGTTCCAGTAGGCGATAACATCAAACTGATGAATAATAGTATCATTGTCACGCCATTGGATGCACAAGACTATGGGGAGTATGTGTGTCATGTTGCAAACGGCTATGGATCTACAAAGTATAAAATTACTCTGTTTGCTTCAAAGGATAATCAAGATGGTGGCGGTAAATATTTTGCTCACAAATCGAACGCTATCCAAATTAGCTTAGCGCTCTCAAGTCTGATTTGGTTTTTCTAAGCTGCTGATAACTTTTCGTACAGGTTTAGACATTACTATCAAAAGCAACATTATGTAGAGGTCTCAGACGCCGACGTTATTAAGTGTGAAGTTTCTTTATCTTTCTTCAGTAAGAAAATAATTTGATTAGCATTGTATAGGTCTATCTATCCGTGTATCAAAATTAGCCTGTTAGGTGGTAACTAAATCGAAGCAAAGCTACCAATGTTAAGAGGGCCTAAGGCTAAAATCTGTCTTTAGATTCTTGAGGTGATATACAATGTGTTTGACTCGACGAAATTTTGAGAAATTTTTCGAATGCCGCGAAAGCTTTGGAANGAATTGACAAAAATTAACTCAATGAAGGTTAAAAGGAACTTCACGTACCGGTGCTCATCGTTCTTTCGTTTCCTCCCCAAGTTTTCCCCATAGACAGAGGGAACACTGCAAGGCGAAAAGAGAAAAACGCAGAAGACTGCAGAGTTGGACTTGATGGCGCGATATGGACGCATACCGGAATCACCAGCGATCTCGGTATATACCTCATGGCTTAATGCCATATAGACGACAAAATGGTTGATAAAAAAATGTTATATATAGTTTATACCGCGATTTCAACTGATGAGAGATGCGATGACACCTGAGAAACCTAATTCAATATGTTTCATACACAGGCGGACGATTGGTGGATATGTCACGCCGGATAGAGAGATTTAACATTAGCACAATAATTAGCTTCCGGTCATTCCAGCTCTTTGGGGCTGCATGGTGCTGCTCGGTCAGTTAAAAAATCATCCTACAGTTTACCGTTTACTAGATCTCAGGTTTGAGGAGTTCTTTCAACATGTCCTTATTGATCCCGGATTATGCCTCTGATCGCCGATCCCTGGCTTCTGATCCATCATTCCATCCCTTGATCCTTGATCCCACATAACTCGTGATACGGCATTAGCATGTAGATTTTTTCCAAATGTTTGGAATCTCTCCAAATAACATTTGATACTCTCAAGAGGTTTAGAGTGAACTCAGTACCTTCTTTGCCATGACAACGTCATTGCAATTAGGTGTAAATGTATTGAAATATGAGCTACAGCGCATGGCATGCTAGGAAGTATCAAAGTACAATAAAATACCAACCTTATAAAGCACAAGATCGTTATGCAACAACTGCAGACGAATTTGAATTGGGAGGGAAAAAAGGGGCCTCTTTTCAGATGAGCTTTCTGTTACAAATGGCTGGTCGATTAAGTAGAGCAATCGTGATCACATATCGTGAAGCCCGCAATCCAACCATGGCGCAGTTTTATCTCGACATTTGTTTCCGGTTAGCTTTTCTCGCTGCACTTCATTCTCTTGTTTCCGGTGAGTACAATATCATCTGAAATCTATTCGAAAGGCTTATGTAAGATATATTCCAGCATCTGGACAGGTTCTTGAAAATACTGATTGTCCTGCCGTCAAAAATGTGTACAGAATGTCGACTGAAAGGTTCTTTTATCTTCCCAAGAGTATCAGATTTTTGGTTTAGAAATGGCAATAGCCTGCAGGCGCAGGTGTCTCATTAGGGTGTGACGATGTTGATAAGCGCCCGATCAAATCTCGTTTCCTCAAACGGCCATCTTTGATTTGGAGTAAACGGTAGGGGGAAGGGGCGAGGATAGGAGAAAAGACGCCGCACTGATATTCACTCCCCACCCTTACCCCTCCTTATATTTTTTTACTGATGCTCGCCCCCCTTGGTACAAATTCATTTCTCTCCCCCAGCCTTCCTCTCCCACCTAAATAAAATATGACGGTCCTAAACTTTCGCGAAGAAAATACAGAGCACTCGTTCGCAAAGATTACGCCTGCTCTACGGGTTAAAATGGCTAGCGATTTCAAATCCTACGTCGTTTGTTTTGTATAGCATGTATTTCAACGAACAAAACACTGACATACAGTTTACCAGAGAAGTCGAAGAAAATGGCAAACTTCCTTTTCTAGACTGCCTGGTAAGCCACAACGACAACTCATTACGGACGACAGTTTACAGGAAACCGACACACACCGACAGATTACTAGACGAGTCATCCTACAACCCTACATCACACAAAGCCACAACTATCAGAACTCTAACACGACGCGCACAACTAGTATGCGACTCGACAGACAGCTTATCCGACGAGAACAAATACCTTCACCGTGTTTTTACGAAGAACAACTACAACAACGACTTCATCCGACGAAACACTCACCGACCCACTACCACTACCGAAACAAACGACACCGCAACCCCTACGACTACAGCAACCATACCGTACATAAAAGGCATGTCTGAAAACATCTCGCGCATCTTACTACCCTTCAATATCCGCGTCGCCCACAAACCCATCACCACACTACGTCAGTTACTAACCAACGTTAAAGACAAAGACGAACCGAGGAACAGACAGGGAACGATTTATAAGATCAATTGTTCCGACTGCCAAGCCTCCTACATCGGTGAGACTGGCAGAAACCTCACAACAAGACTGACTGAACACAGACGGGCGACGAGGAAAGGTGATGTCAGCAATCACATTGCTGAACACCATCGACTTACCAACCACAACATTGACTGGGACTCTGCGCAATGCCTAACCTACAGCACTGACTATTTTCAACGACTGACTCTGGAAAGCTGGTTTACTAACTTAGAACAGACTCCCCTAAACAGATGTCAACAACTACCCGCTCCATACAAACGACTCATTCACGACATAAACATCACAAACGACCGAAAAAGAACGACCTAACTTTACCGACAGATCGAAACAGACCAATCACGACCGACTTACGTCACTTGAGTCTTACAGCCAATAACATCACGGCAAAACCAACCGATCATTTCACACGAACTGGAATAAGAACATTCTACTGACAACAATCATTCACTTGACTCTGATGATGACCTCCGCACAGGTTGTCGAAACGTCAGTCACTACCACCGAAAACAGTCCTTCTCAGGACTACACTCACCCGGACGATCAGACTACACCTTCATAAGGTTTACTGTAGTGGAAAATTGTACGCAGATCCAGTTTGCCTATCATTCAATCATTAACACAACCATTACCAATGTTCTCGTGAATGCACTCTCTTTTAGTGCCAAGTACGAAGTGTCTGTTAGAGGCCAAACTGCTGTGGGGCCTGGACCCTACGAAACACCTGTAATGGTGCAAACATTGGGTAAGTGAGCTTGTAGGGAGCTTTCTGAGGTAATTAATAGGGTGGGAGTGGAGCTGAAAGTTGGTAACAACTTCTGGGAAAATTTGAAAATCACGGAAAATTCTTTTTGGTTTCGAGCCAAGGCAAGGGTTTAACGAGTTCTTTGGGTGTGTATTGAGACGCAATGTAACCTCACATGTTCTCCTCCAGAGTAAGAGCTGCTTTTACAACTACTACTACCACTACTACTACTGCAACTCTTGCTGTCACCACCGCTACCATTCTTTGGTGGTAAACAGGTAAGGAGACCTTAGTTAATGACCTAGCTGAAGAAGACATGTAGTATGCAGTCGAAACGTTGCAATCCACCTCCCAAGTGATCAAATCGTGCGACAAACAATTACATTTCTCTTTAAAGTGTTATTTATCACGAGGAATAGTTCGAAAAATTGCGAAAGTTGAATTGAAAGTGATCCATAATTTTTTTGAGAGCATTATACTTTTTTCCCTGATAATATTAAGCGAAAGTGTTTTTCAAAGCGAAACCTTCGGTGTCTTGCCGTTGAACAAAGTAGAAAATGTAAGTAGATGAGTTGGTCTGTGCGAACAACTGAATTAAGACCAGAAAAGGAAAGGCTTCACGCCCCTGTTGAAACGACAGAGCATTTGGAATTCACATAGTATTTCATTCTACCAATGCAAGGGAAGGTGGTCCTAGTTTTTTAGAGCACTGACAAAATTCGGTGAAGTAAAACCGACAGAATCCCTGATTACTTTTGACACTTCATAAACATGTCGAGAATTGTGCGAAACGATAAAAATAAGTGTTGTCTTTTCTCCAAATATCGTTAGATGTGCCTGACGTAACTGAGCCTTCTTTCTCTTCTCCCAGCTGAAATGTGGTCCAAAGAGAGGTCATCTTCGCCCTCTTTTTCCGCGGATTAAAAGGGAGGTGGAATTTCAGCCAAAGTAATGCTTCCACGTTTTCCTGGAAATGCAAGGTACGACTGACTAAGTAATCTTACGATAATTTTAGGTGCTATTTTAAATGAGTGTAGGCTTTTTCTTCTAACTAAGGAAGAGAGCATGAGCTTGAGACGATCAAAGTTTGGCTTTCGTATATTTTAGTATACGTGATGTAATTTCAGTTTATGTTCGTTTTCTTTCAATATAAATATTTTCAGAAATATGCATTGCCATGTGGAGATACAAATTAAAATAT